ACCGAAGTTGGAGAGCGGCGACTCAAGGGACTCGAGGTTCCAGAGCTCTTAACTTCGATTTTGCCCAGGCAGTTGGCCGGACGGTGGAAGCTTTCTCAACCGAGTAACACGCCTGCCGCGGCATCCCGTGTCCAGTTTAACGTCGAGCAGATTCGACAACTTGGGACGCTCTGCGCCCGGCTCGAAGCGCTCTCGAGTGGACGAGTGTTCCGTGATATCACGCTCCGACGGAACCCCTCGGCGCCGAACCTCAACCAACTCGAAGAAGCTGTGGAGAGCATGGTTATGTATGCGAATCCCGCGCTATTAATGCCGGACATTCGCAAGGACGCCTCAGACGAAGAGTTGATGACTATTCTTGATTCCTTGTCCCTCCGGATTGAAAACGCCTTAGGAAATATACAACATCGTCAAATCAGCGGGTACGACGAGGTATTGACCCAACTGGGTGCGGCCATTCGGCTAAACCCAAACATGCTCATGCAGGCATTGGTTATGTTCCAAGGAGTCACGGGTGCGCAGTAGATTTGCTTTCTTAGTTTTCTTGCTTAGATTACATTTCAGCTTGATTTTTGTGTGTACATTATTTGTATTTCGTTCGCTCAATGGGAATTGTTCCGCTCAGATGTCACCATGTGAATTTGTTGGACATCAGCTGTCCCCGAGTATCTAAGGATAGGAAGTTCTCGTTGCTCGGTTTGGGTTAGTCGGAATCAATTCGCTCGCGTGGCGTTGGTAGGTTTCAATCCCAAAAAGACTCATAGTTGGGGGAGGGTAAAGTCAGGATATACTTCTCCCGCTTTCTACCCCTCTCAGGCGCCAGTCGTCTGCTGTAGGCCTTACAGGAAGCTGGTATCATCATCAAGGCTGGGTCTTGACATACTCATTCATTATTTTTATCATTATTTTATCATTAAACATGGCGACTTTCAGCGGCACTAGAAGAGCATACCGTCCACCCGCATACCAATACACTTGGTGGTCTGCGTTGCGCAACCTTCCTCGACGCATATTTACTCCGCCTGCGGCTGAAGGTCGGCACCATCATCGCTCATGCAATGGTCAGTCTTGCTATCATCCAAAGTCGTAGCGTAACTAAACAATCGTGCGCATCCTAAGTCGTGCCTATCTTTCGCGTCGCGCTTGATGACATCTTGGATGGAAAACACCTCCCACCATTAAGTCTGAAAGACTTTGAGGAATACCTTTTGTTTGATGAGCACTCAGCTGAAAATCTGTGCGTAAATCTACATCTTCGTCGCGAGGTAACTGATCGACTTCTATCAGATACTTTGTTCTTTGGTTGAGAGAGTGAGTGTTTGATGACTTGCAACCGGGTGTTCTCTAATAGGCTATCACTTGATGAAATTTAGCTATACCAAACGGCATCGCGCTTGGTTTGCAACGGCAACACCTTCATCACGCTCACTTGCTTTATCCTTCACCCGCGCAAAATCAACCTTTTTCTCTCATTCTTCTCCACATGAACTCAATCTCGCCTCAATTCTTGTTTCAAACTTTCTCAATGCGGCAGAAGGGCAACCCCATCCTCCTCCCACGGTTTTCAGTCAGATATCACGAGAGGTGGAGTACATGCTTAGGGAATCTCTTGTTCGGTTTGTCGCTGCACGAACTAGGAACGCCGGCAAGCAACGTGTATGGTGCGCTCTCATCGGAGGTGTCGGGACTAGTGCGATCGCTCTCGCTCCTCTACTGGTGTCCATCTTAGGCGATAGGTCACGTGTGCTTCGGCTTGCTGCCTTGCCTGTTCTGTGGCTTGGTGCAACAATCTTCTTGAGCTCTATTCATGGGATCTGTTTTATTATATTTGTCTTGGGAGATGCTCGCCAGTTGCACCCGTTTGAGCTCGCGCGACCCTCCATTTCGTCTCCCCAACCACTCGACCCACCAAACCCAGCGTATACACCTGAACCAATCTTGGCATTCGCCCTGGGGCGCGAACATACTTGGTCTACCGCCCCCGCCTATGTTGAAAAACCGGCACCTATTCGAGGTCCTTTTGTGGCCAACTCTATGCCATCACCTGCCACGCCTGAGGACATACATGTGTCTTCCCCGTTCCCTGCTTCGCCCACTACGCTTCCTCCGCGTATCACTATCCCTTCTCGTGTCCATCATTCTCGCAATATCTCCAACACTTCAGGTATGAGTATTCCAACGATCCCACCGTACTCTCCTACCCCGTCCAGCCCATTCGACACAGCGCCGTTCATTGCACCGTTTAACCCGAGTGTGCAAGAGCATGATGAAATGGTTGAAACAAAGTACCGCCCAATATTAAACTCACAACCTGTGTTCAACTTTGACGAGCTGCCTGGCCGTCGTCGTCGTATCGTACCTCATCAGCGGTCCTCTTCGCTCAACGCACTATCCGAATCGTTAGGCTCCCGCCTACGCCGAGCAGGTCATCGTATAGCGCCAGAACATTCCAATGGGACTCCGGCCGTTGCGCCACTCACACGAGTGTGGAGTCCTTTGGTGACCCGTGCTCAGTGGGAGATTGTGATGCGGAGTGCGGCGGTTGCGCTCGTGTTTGCGGGTGTGGTGGTGGGTGCGTTGTTGGCTATTCCTCCGCATACAATGCCTGGGCGGCCTTGGTACGAGGGGTATATAGGTGTATGAGAGTGATTGGTGCAACTGAGTTTACGGCTGATGTAGCCAAATGGACCGTGGATGTATGCGCGTGGGATGCTTGTATTCTTCTTCGTGGGGTTTGCATTGGGTTTATGTGTGCGGGCTCTAAAAATTCGGCCCTGAATTTGAATAATTGGAACACTTTTATTGGCTCCTTTCCCGGTTTTAGTGCTAGCTGTGGCGAAGCAAACACGTCGGACTCGGGCGTAAGAGAGTCCTCGACATGGCTCTTCTACTGAAATAGCTAATGCATGAGTAGTCGCAAAGTATACGAAGAGTAATGAAAATAAAGATAAAAGTGTTCTGAGCACTCCTGCTGAATCCAGCAGATACCGGTGCGAACACTAGGGTGCACCAGATCTCCCACCGAATCAGCAGAGAGAAGCTTTGTTGGATTACTTGTAATCACGACCGCTCGAGCCGAGCGTTGTTGCGCCAAGGTAATACTAGGGCGACGGGGGCGGCTAAGACATCCTGTAAGACGACACAGAGTACACCTGGGCTCGAGAAATCTCTTGAAATGTAAGGCCATGTTTAAGACAACACCTACAGGCAAAGAAGAGCAAGCTATTTTCCGAAGTGGATGACCGTACGAGTAGGAGACGTACAGAGAGCCGTAATGCGGACATGTGCGTGCAGTGAGCTTGAGTTTATGCCGGGAAGAACACGGGACTAAACGAAGGTAAAGAGTAGACCGAATGGCGGTGCCGCACAAAGTCAGGGCGACCGGCCGAAGAAAACCCCAAATTTAAGTCAGGTGGGCGATGCCGGAGGGATAGGGGTGGGAGATACCCCTGCAGAGCCGAAGGGGAGTCTTGTGCGTACAGCACGCCTAGTCTAGATCTAATCGACACCGTGGGCGGCCAATCGAGAAGAGATGCGGTGACAGTGGCCGATACGACAACCACGCCGGGGCCAATTGCGCTAAAGACCATTCGATGCCGTGGAATGCGACAAGACTGTTTATCAGCGTCAAAGGCTCTAAAATCAAGAGTGGGAGTAGGAATGCAGGCCCAATGGGTGAGCCACCATGGTCTCCATAAGGAACCAGGCGAGTGTGGAATTAAGGCGAGTACAGTGCGCGTCGCAAAGCCGCCCGACAGCACCAGATTACGAGATAACCACTAACAAGCTGTTTGAGTCGAAGGAGCCCCTCAGATGCCACGCAGTTTCCACGCTCCCAACGGAGAGCGATGAGGAGGTACCGTTCGACGACTCGCTGGAAAGAAGGGCTAGCGTCAAGAATCTAAGCTGTAGCAGGGCAAGCGCATCCGAATCGGGTGAGCCCAGTGAGGGGGGGAAGACTCGAGTGGATTGCGCCGCAGGTGCGAACTGGACTAAATATAAGACCAGATAGGGGCTCAGGGGCCAACGAGAGGAGTCGGATCTGATCGAGGCATCCTCCACTGGCTGTTCCTCTCCTAAGCTCCAACCCACCAGTAGCTCAAAACCCTTGCCAATATTTTGATAATTCTGAAATAAATGCGCTACGTGCGGACTGAAATTGAGCGTTTTCTCCGGCAAAGCTAGCTCGTTAATTATAGGATATACTCTTTGATGTCTAGTCGTGAAAAAAATGAGTGTGTGTGCAGACTACGGTTGAATTTATAATTTTTGGCGCAATTTGGCACATATGGCGAAGAATAGCATCATATGAGATAAGGGTAGCGGGAGGTATGGCGCGCGCTAGCTGGTTGGCTCTCTGCTCTGGCGATTAACTCGGCTACCTGCTTACGGACAGGGTCAATCTCTTCTCCCCCACGGACTGCAAATCCCCTTCGGGCCTTGGCCCGACACAGACTTGGAATGAATACGAGAAGGAGTTAAAGATCACTATGGAAGTGTATGATTAGTCAGCATGTGACTGACTCGGAATGATTGACTCGTACGCATACACGTACCTTCGTACGTGTAGAATGTCTTATTTTGTATGTACTACGTGTCTGTAACACGTATTATATGATGTGTCTATACGTGTATTGTACTATATATACAGCTCTGTAGGAGCATGATCCTACAGGCCGTTGAGCCTCACTGGCGTGGATATTATTAATCACGATGGAAAATCCTGGTTACAAAAAATTTGAAGCTTGAAGTAATGCATATACCTTAGACTGCGATGAGTTTTTTCGTTCTTTTCTTCTCTCGATGGTTCTGAAGTGGGCTCAAGTCCGAAATGAAACCCCGGTTGCACGGCGCCAGCATGGTTGACCCCCATTCTGGCGCTCAATTCGACTCCAGATGGAGCTTAGTATAAAAAGTCCTAGTTACGAGAAACTAGGTTTGAAGCAACGCGTACGAAGGGATAATTTGGAAACATGCTCCTGTTCGAACCACTAAAAAGAAGGCCGTGCCCAGGTTCGAACTGAGGTTACGAGAATGACATAAGCCAGACTAGGTTGCCAGCCATCAAAATCTCGAGTGATAAACCACTACACTACACAGCCTTGAATGTGTGTAGTGAGACCAAACCAAGTCGTGCACGATTGTTGACCTGGGTCAAGCTCCTGATCACGTATAGGTGCCTAGTTCATCACGGGGTGGTGCCAGCCTATCGAGGGCCTACAAGGGATTATAATCCCCATATGGTCCAACAGGTTCACCCGCCTTGCGGCGTTTCCGTAAACGTTGGTAATCGACCACCAGAATCGGCCAGGCGGTCGTTGATTCAGAATTATTTTGATATTTTAACACTTAGGCGAGTCACTAGCGGGTCTCCTACTTGGTCGGTCCGGGCCGACGCATTTCCCCTGAGTCCCGACACATCTCTTATTGCATGCTTGAGGTACCGCGTGCAGTATTTAAGCTCAAAAGTATTTATAGCATCTCGGTGCCCTACATTTGAACGTGCGGCTTTACCCCTTCGAATCTATGTACTTTGTTCTCCCAATCCAAGGTCGTGTAAACATTAGCTGGAAATGAGAATTAAAGGGTATCGGTAACTGTCCTCCATCTTATAGTCCAAACCCCTGGGTGTGAGCTCTAGTGTAAACGAGGCTCTAGCTGGTCTGAAACCGCCCGACGGACTCGGAGGTGAGGGGACGTAGGCTCGCCTGGTGGACATTCCGGCGGGAGAGAAAAAGGAAGAGCTACGAAGGATTCACCTCAGGTTGATCGATGGGTAGCTCAAAAAGCGGTTACCAGAGGTCGAGGGCGCTACGGCTACTAGAGAGTGTGATCATGGAGAGCTAGAGACATGGTCTAGAAGAAGCAAATCCAAGAACTGGACGCATATACTCCAAATATCTACTACCACTATCCTCCAATTTGGTGGCTCCTCTGTCTAAAATGACTTATTAAACGAGTACAAACCACACTGAGCACCTTGCGAGGACAACTTAGACTGGCACCAACATCACGGCTGTACTCGGAGTGTTCGAACCTGGACAAGGGTTTTCCCCCTCAAAGCTCCTGGGTCTTGCTGCTCCAATTGAGCGACCTTGAACGCTCTACTACCGTGTACTCTAATACAGCCATTGTAGTGCATTGGAGCACAATCGAGTAGACATACCTGCACACCCGTCGTCCCACGTGACTGACATGGAAATAAGCTCAACATAAGCTTAGCGCCGAAGACCTGCTAACCCGAATTACCACCGGATACTTTCAACTCGACCGCGATGGCGAGTAAAGTGGAAGAGCTACCGACGCCGGCCCCGGCGCTACGTCGCAAAACAAAACCCGCCTGTGTACTCCGACTCAACTCGTTTGCTGTTGTTCTCCTTGGCGCCGCTGCGTTTATCGTCTGGAATGTGAACCACATTTCCCATTCTCACCGTTCGCGTACACTTCCACCACACGCAACTACGGCCCTCTCGAGATGCAAGTCTCTTCATGAAAAACCTGGGCCACCACGTAGTTTCTGGAGTCGAACCGTGTCGGATCGGTTCGAGCCTGGAACACCGCCGACGTTGATTCAGAACGCGACTATCTGGACTGGAGGCGATGATGGATATGAGATTGTGCTGGGTGATGTGTTCTTGGATCGGGGACTTATCAAGGCAGTCGGACGCGTCCCACAAGCGTTGTTGGACAATGCTGGGCCAAAGCTTGTCACAAAGAATGTTGGCGGAGCATGGGTCTCTCCAGGCATGTCTTTCAAGCTTTACTTGACGATGGCTAACCCGAATTCGCAGCTATTAACGACATGCACAGTCATCTTGGCGTCGACAGCGTCCCCGAACTTCGTGGTATGTTATCATTAAACCTTTTAACATTAATCTCACAGTTGTTTTTAGGCTCAGACGACACTAACTCGCTCAAAGCACCCACGATGCCGTACTTGCGCTCTCTCGACGGGTTCAACACCCACGACGCGGCCTTTGCTCTCTCACGCAGCGGTGGCGTCGCCACGTCGCTCATTCTACCCGGCAGCGCAGACAACATCGGCGGTCAAGCATTCGTAGT